ACGCGAATTAAAACGCGTTTTCGATAGCCCATTCGAAAGAGCGTCCCCTGGCGGTCAGAAAAAGGTATAATATGTCGGGGGTACACTTGAGTCTCAAAAAGTTATAGCCAATTTGGCCAAATGTCGCAAAACTTTTTGAGACTCTACCGTCCCGGAGAAATTTTATAAAATTTTTTCGAGGCCGGAATCGTACTCAGCGGGTGTCAGAGTACCATATAGGCCTATTTTTGGGTCAAAATTCGAAAATTTTGTCCCCGCCCTCAGAACCAAAGGGGTACCCCTTTTGCCCGAAATTCTCGAATTTTTAAATCGCCATAACTTTTTTTGGGATTTTCGGATTGGGATGGGGTCTCTTTCTAAAAATAGTCCTAAAAATTAGGTATTTTTAGAGTGAAGAAAATTTCGAAAAAAATCGAAATTGGGGGAGTAGGGGTCGAATTTCGAAAAACCCAAAAATTTTCGGTTTTTCGAAAAATTTTCGGGAATTTTGCCTGTGGTTAGGGGCATAGGTATTTTTCTTGGATAGAGAAGATTTTTCTGCATAGAATTAGCTTTTAAAATTTAAAAAAATGTTAACTTTAAGAAAGTTATGAATTTTTGAAAATTTGGTCGATTTTTTCGGCCAAAATTTCCAACGAAAAAAATAAATTTTTCAAAATGGCCATAAATAGGCCAAATGTTATATCAATCGAAAGCTCTCATCGAGCTGAGTATAAAAATATTTTTTGAAAAATTTTCTGACCATTTTGTACAAAGTTACAAAAGATCGAAATTTTGGTTGTGGGGGGTTTGGGGGCCGAAGGCCCCCAAACGGCGGGCCAGAGGCCCGCCGTGCGAGGGCCGAAGGCCCGAGCACTCCGAGGCCGAAGGCCGAGGAGTTTGCGGCGAGGGCCGGAGGCCCGAAGCAACGCTCGGGCCGAAGGCCCGAGCAGTACAAAAGATCGAAATTTTGGTTGTGGGGGGTTTGGGGGCCGAAGGCCCCCAAACGGCGGGCCGGAGGCTCGCCGTGCGAGGGCCGAAGGCCCGAGCACTCCGAGGCCGAAGGCCGAGCGAGTTTGCGGCGAGGGCCGGAGGCCCGAAGCAACGCTCGGGCCGAAGGCCCGAGCAGTACAAAAGATCGAAATTTTGGTTGTGGGGGGTTTGGGGGCCGAAGGCCCCCAAACGGCGGGCCGGAGGCCCGCCGTGCGAGGGCCGAAGGCCCGAGCACTCCGAGGCCGAAGGCCGAGGAGTTTGTGGCGAGGGTCGGAGGCCCGAAGCAACGCTCGGGCCGAAGGCCCGAGCAGTACAAAAGATCGAAATTTTGGTTGTGGGGGGTTTGGGGGCCGAAGGCCCCCAAACGGCGGGCCGGAGGCCCGCTGTGTGAGGGCCGAAGGCCCGAGCACTCCGAGGCCGAAGGCCGAGGAGTTTGTCGGCTATTTTGGTTGTGGGGGGTTTGGGGGCATGGCATAACTTTGCCGGCGAGGGCCAAAGGCCCGAAGCAATGAAAAGGCAGGGCCAAACTTTGCCGGCGAGGGCCGAAGGCCCGAAGCAATTAAAAGGCATGGCATAACTTTGCCGGCGAGGGCCGAAGGCCCGGAGCAATGATAAGGCAGGGCATAACTTTACCGCCGAGGGCCGAAGGCCCGGAGCAATGAAAAAGCAGGGCTAATCTTTGCCGGCGAGGGCCGAAGGCCCGAAGCAATGAAAAGGCAGGGCTGATCTTTATCGGCGAGGGCCGAAGGCCCGAAGCAATGAAAAGGCAGGGCTAATCTTTGCCGGCGAGGGCCGAAGGCCCGAAGCAATGAAAAGGCAGGGCATAACTTTATCGGCGAGGGCCGAAGGCCCGAAGCAATGAAAAGGCAGGGCATAACTTTATCGGCGAGGGCCGAAGGCCCGAAGCAATGAAAAGGCAGGGCATAACTTTATCGGCGAGGGCCGAAGGCCCGAAGCAATGAAAAGGCAGGGCATAACTTTATCGGCGAGGCTGAAGGCCCGAAGCAATGAAAAGGCAGGGCTGATCTTTATCGGCGAGGGCCGAAGGCCCGAAGCAATGAAAAGGCAGGGCGATGAAAAGGCAGGGCAAATCTAATGTTTCTAGCAGCGCGCGAAGCGCGCCCCAAAGCCGTTAGGCTTTCCAACGGGCAAAACAAAATTTTACCGCCAGAGTATCCTAATAGGAATTGCATACGTAACTTACCGCCATCACCTCAATGGGCACAGCTAGTTAAGAAATCTATAATAAATTTATTTACCATTTATTTTCATGAGCCAGATATGACAAACATGTTTCTCAAAAAAATATTTGTAAATGTTGGCACACTTAAGGATTTATGATTTTTAAGCGTAAAGCCAAACGAACGAAAACTTAAGTATATTGGGAATTATATTTAAAATGTTTGGACGTTTAAATAAATTAAATAAGCTTTGCTTTTCCGGTTTTTTTAATTTATATGAACAGTAGACATATGGATCTCTGCGTTGATATGTAGTTGTTTTAGATTGGTAAATTTTAGTACATATCTCTTGGAATGAGTTCATAATCCTTTATACTATGTAGATAGAATATTCGTTTAACCGTTCATAAAATGACCCTAGAATTCCTCAATTCACCAAATAACAAGTTTATTCCATTTTTCAAAACATGTAAAGTTAAAAAAGTATTGAATAAAATGTATAAAAATGTGACTAAAACTTGATACAATTAAAATTATCTAGCTCCAGAGTAATATAGTTATAGCTAAACTCACTCAGTTTGATGATATCTTTATTAAATATTTTAAAATAAGTCTAAGAACGTCACCAAATATTTTACAGAGATTAACAGTCCATTAAATAGTTCCGAAAATTAATAAGAATTATAAGAAATACTAAGTAGAAATGTTTAACAAATGCACTTTAATAAATTTTTAAGGATTTATTAAAGTTCAATTTTGTGGATTTAAAAAGATTTTATAAATTTATCACGTATTTGTAAAAATTACATATAAAATTAAAGTAAAGCAGCTGGGCTATAGCTATTTCTCTCCTTTAGCTTCTAACCCCACTAACTCAAATCCCGACTGGCCCTGTCCCTGTTTATCTCCGATCTCGAACAAACGCTTTCCGTCTAACCCTACTCCGAACGATTATATCGAACCCGACCCCGAACTCCGTAACCCCGATAAAAGCCCCAACCCTGAATGTTAGGGTCCAACTCTGCTTTGAAATAAAAGTAGAAATCAACTGGTTTGACTATAAAGGATTTAGAAAAAATAAATGTTTACTAAAAGCAAAAACAAATAATATTATGCCAATAACTTTTGGCTTTTTTCGCTTTCCACGTCACTCTTTTTTCTCGTTTTAACTGCAAATCTAAAAAATAAATCCCCTATTTCCGATGCTCCATCTAAAAAATTAAATAAATACATGTGAATACAGTAATGTATTTAAAGCTTTTTAATCTGTTGATTTTTAGAGTATTAAATATAAATAAATAGATTTGTAAACAAAATTGGAAAAAACTAAAAATTATTTTCTAAATAGGTATACATTTTTCCGCTTATTAAATTTTGTTTAGTGATAGAGAACATTGAATAATTTTTTAAAAATTTATTTGCAACAAAGCTATACCCCCAAATAGAGGTAAAGAAGGATATCAAGTATTAGGATAATAAAAAGATATAGCAGCTTAAAACCTCGAACAATAGAAGTGATTTATTTATCCAACCTTTGATATCTCTAATAATTTCCTGATTTACTCATTAATCTTCGGTCTTCTATCACTCTTATTTTTAGCACATCGTATCCCAATCATTTCTAACAAACCTCAAGATCTCTCCAAATCAACGAGGTGCATAAAATTCAAATTTAGACGCCGATCCTGACAATCCAAAACACGAATATCTTGTTGCTACCCAGGTTTCAAAATTTTTAACTTATAAACTAGAGCTACTCAGCGAAAGACATATCGAAAATTACTCATTTTTGAGAGAAAAAAGACGGTTTTATTCAATAGAAAATTAATGAGTACATCAGGAATTTGGAGGGGTATCAGAGGTTAAATGATTAAATCACTTAAATCGTTGAGGTTTTAAGCTGATATATCCTTTTATCATCCTAACTAATCCTTGATATCCTTCTTAACCGTTTCCGCACCTAATAATATTGCTCTAATATTCCACAAATAAAACAAAAATTAATATAGGGGTAGGACAACTGTCATGTCCGATGTTCATGCTGTGGAAAAATTGTGGATGGGAGATGGAATTGAACCATCATGGAATGAGCCCAGACCGAAGCACAACCGACTGTGCCACCATCCAACCCAATGCTGGGTTATTTATTTTCATTTATGTTCTTTCTGCAAGTGCGGACACAACACTCCTTCCGCCTTGCGAAATCAAGCGTCCTCGCTTGTTGCTTGTCTTCAATAACTATCATCTGTTTCGATTTTTTGGAGAGCACACACAGAAACCCATTTTTGTGGCATATGCTGCGCTTCATGCGCCTTACGCATTTTTTTTTATATTATATTAGCCTCGCAACACCGGCTAGCCTATCACAACTCAGGCATTTTTTTTTAAATTTCTCACAGGGTCTTCTCCTATTTCTCTCCACAGTGACAGAATGTCAGATCATCACAGCATTTGACGGTTCGCTTGTTCCTCAGGCTAAGCCTGGAGTGTCCGACCGCGCCATTATTATGTCTGTGGATCAGACATATTTTATTGTACAATGACCCTAAGCTCTCAAACATAATTGAGGAATTAATTTACAATATTTATTTTATCATTTATTAAATTAGGGTCAAGGGAGCAGGGTTGCGTCGTAATTACGAATTACGATTACGAATTACGAATTACGGTGTTTTTTCAGTTACGAATTACGAATTACGATTACGAAAAAATTTTTTAAATTACGAATTACGAATTACGATTACGAAAATATAGGGAAAAATTATGAATTACGAAAATAATTTTGCCAAAAAATTTTAGAATAAAAAGGATAAGAAATATTTATTTTTTCTCTCCCCTTAGTTGTGTTTATCGGTGGTTGAGTGGGTTAAAAGTCAAGCTTCACTCACTTAATATTTTGTGGTGTTTGGTTCGAATCCAAGTCTGGGAAATAAAATTTAGACAACCTATTTTTTCAAAAATAAATGTTTTTAAATTTGATTTTGATTTTAGGTTTGTAAATTTATATTTTTAATATCTTAAAATTGAAAAAAAAACTTAAAAATTTTTAATCTAGTAATAAATTTTCTAAAAATTTTTCGCCTGCGGCGCTGAAAATATAAGAGTGTTGGCTCGGGATTAAGTGAGAATGATTTGACATGATATCAAACTTAATCTGGGACGATGATTCCTCATGATTGATTAAAGAGATATCGGAGATTATTAGGATTAAGAGGGATATCAGGGAATTAATTTGGATTTGAATAATATCAGAGAAATAAGAAGACTTGGAGAGATTAATGGGAGAAGTAGCAATTATTAATAAATATTTGATTTTTAAAATTAATTTAAATATTTTTGAAAAATTACGAATATCTTTCCGGTTTTTTAAATTTATATGAACATTATACATATGGAAGTTTTACATAAATTCTAAAAAAAAGGCAAGCTTTACATTGGTTAATATAGGTGTTTTACAGATTGGAAAATTTTAGTAAAGAGCTCTTGGAATCAGTTCACAATCCTTTGTTGACACCGTTATTTACCTCGTTTCATTATTAAGTAGGAATATTAAATTTAAAAGTTTAATTCCAAATTATAAATCAAAATATTTGCTTAAGTTATAGAAATATACTATGTAGATAGTATATTCGTTTAACTGAATATAAAATGACCCTAGAATTTCTCAATTCACCAAATAACAAGTTTATTCCATTTTTTAAAACATGTAAAGTTAAAAAAGCATTGAATAAAATGTATAAAAATGTGACTAAAACTTGATACAATTGAAATTATCTAGCTCCAGAGTAATATAGCTATAGCTAAACTCACTCAGTTTGATGATATCTTTATTAAAATATTTTAAAAAATAAGTCTAAGAACGTCACCAAATATTTTACTGAGATTAACAGTGCATTAAATAGTTCCGAAAATTAATAAGAATTATAAGAAATACTAACTGGAAATGTTTAAAAATGCACTTTAATAAATTTTTAAGGATTTATTAAAGTTCAATTTTGTGGATTTAAAAAGATTTTATAAATTTATCACGTATTTGTAAAAATTACATATAAAATTAAAGTAAAGCAGCTGGGCTATAGCTATTTCTCTCCTTTAGCTTCTAACCCCACTAACTCAAATCCCGACTGGCCCTGTCCCTGTTTATCTCCGATCTCGAACAAACGCTTTCCGTCTAACCCTACTCCGAACGATTATATCGAACCCGACCCCGAACTCCGTAACCCCGATAAAAGCCCCAACCCTGAATGTTAGGGTCCAACTCTGCTTTGAAATAAAAGTAGAAATCAACTGGTTTGACTATAAAGGATTTAGAAAAAATAAATGTTTACTAAAAGCAAAAACAAATAATATTATGCCAATAACTTTTGGCTTTTTTCGCTCTCCACGTCACCCTTTTTTCTCTCTTTAACTGCCAATCTAAAAAATAAATCCGCTATTTCCGATGCTCCATCTAAAAAATTAAATATGTATATATTTGTGAATACAGTAATTTATTTAAAGCTTTTTAATCTGTTGATTTTTAGAGTTTTAAATATCTGTTTGTAAACAAAATTAGAAAAAACAAAAAATTATTTTCTAAATATATCTTTTTGTTTATTGAATAAATTTTAGTCATACAAAACATTGAATAAGTTTTTAAAAATTTAGTTGCAACAAAGCTATATCCCAGATATAGGGGTTAAGAAGAATATCAAAGATTAGGTTGATGAACATAAATCTGTCACATTTTTTGTATAAGGGAATAAATCTGTTCTTTTCTATTTCTTTTTTTAGATTTATCTCGTAAGATAATTTATTTAAATATAGCAATTTACAATTTAAATACACGAAAGGATTTAAGGAAATATTGTAAAAAATTAAAATAAACAAGTAAAAAAATGGCATTTTTATATAAGTATTTCAAAATTAAAAGAAGTACTTATAATCGGAATCAGAATTTATCAATAATTCTTAGATTAATTTATTTAAATGTGTTTACTTTATTTCACTATTAATAAAAGTTTAAAATAGAGTAGCAACCCGACGCCAGAAACATTATCTGGCGATTTTTTAATAGAACCCCAATCCGAGCCCCTAATAAATAGGATGTAATATTTTGGCTTAATATGTATAATAATTAGGTCCCTGACAATTCAGACCTCGACAATCTTGTTGCTACCCTAGTTTCAAAAATTTGATTTTACAAACTAGAGCTAGAATAATAGTTTTAGAAGACCGACGATTAATACGAAAATCAGGAAGTTTGTAGGGATATCGGAGGTTGGATGAATAAATCTTATCGTTGGAGGTTTTAAGCTTTCCTTTTTTCATCCTAATCCTTGATACCCTTCTTAAATCTTTCCGCACCTAATAATATTCCTCTAATATTCCACAAATATGACAAATTAACATAGGGGTAGGACGGCAATCTCTAAGTTTAAATACTGTATGATTTACCTATTTATACACACATAAAAGATTTCTAAATTAGGAATTTTATTTGTTGTTTTTTGCTTTTTACCTGTTAATTTTGATAGTAAATAAAATATTTATAAATACTTTTAAATACGTATTTAAGTATTTAGATGTTTTTTTGTTAAAAATAGATAAAAATGCAACATTTTCGTTGCTATTTCCTGTCTTTTCAGAATAAAATTTTTGTTTTTTTATCTTCGAGAATAAAATAAAAATAAAAATATAAATACAGCTGTAATACAGGTGCTCGTTGACAAAAGTTTATTTTTAATTATTTCAGTAGAAAAGTGATAAAATGGATAAAATAGGTACTTTAGCAGAAAATATGAGACGAAAATTAATTTTTTAATGTCTTGATTTTCTTCACACTTTTTAAAAACAGAATTTGTAGGCAATTAATAAGCCAAATTATTCATAAAACCTTCAAATATCTAAAAAAGCCAGAAGGGATTTTTTGACTCCACTAATAATCAAAAATAAAAAAATGCTTCTAAATGAGAAAGCGAGACAATTAAAAAGGCGAAAATTCAGCGAAAGACTGGTGGCAAAAAGATACACAACTGTATCTTTTCTCACCCGTAAGATACTCAACTGATACACAACAAAATATAAATAGAAATCTTTGGAATATGTCGTTTGTGTAAATATGTTTGGAATAAACAGAATATAATAAAGACCGGACCGAAACCAGATCTCGATTATTTTTCTATATTTCGATATCGATTCTTCTACTATACTCCAAGTCCATTCTCTAGTATATCAAAATTTCTAACTTACTTTCTAGAAGTAAGATTTCATAAATCCATTAAAATACTGTAGTTAATTCTAATTTTTATTTAGTTTTGGAGCTAATTTATTAACTAGTTAGAGAGTTGGAATAAAAGCAATTTAAAATAAAAATGTTATTTTTAGAAAATAAATTTACATTTATAAAGACTATTTCACTGTAATGCATTTTTTAGATTATTATACAAAATCTGGAAGGAAAATTATTGGAAAATTAGTAAATATTTTATTCCTTCCATTTTTACTTCCTTTAGGGAATCCCCCTACTTTTTTTATTTATTTAAAAGCAATGTTTTCAGGATTTATTTTCACGTGAATTACATTTGACTTTTCGTACTTAATAAACTAAAAGTTTAACTAATTCAGAGTAAATATTTTAAATTATTTTTGTGTAAATTTATAATAAGAAATTTATAATAAATTTATAACGTGTATCTTTCCACGTGCCTGCAAATGTTTGTCAGCAACTCGATATCCGACGCATTTTTTTAAAGTTGCACCGCATTTTTAAAGTTTCATTTTTTTAAAGTTCCACATAAATCAAATATTATGGATTTTCATTAAGCCAAGAAGAGATAATTCCATTTTCTTAACGACGCAGACGAAAATCTTAAAAGTATTATCTTAATGAAGGCATAGACAAATTTCACTTATATAGCGCCGCATGCGAAAATTTTGAGAATTTTCGAAGGTCAAAGAACCCAATTTCTTCATTTTATGTAACAAATTTCATGGCAAATATTGGATTTCGGCTCGGGTTTTCGAAAATTTCTCGGATCGAGTTTTGTGTCGAAAAAAGAAGTAAGTTTACGGGAATAATTAAAAATCCCGTAATTGAGAGAAAATTCCCGTGATCCAGTAACCGGATTTTTTAAAAAGTCTAACTGGACATTGCCCAGCAGTATTTTATTGGTATACTTTAAGACTTAATATCAAAAAATCGGATTCGGCTCAATTAGATTTGTATATACCCCAAAACCATCACATACTCCCTCATAATTACAGATTTATGTTAGGTTAATTTTGAGAATGTTAAATTTAATTTATAAAAAATGAAATAAATTTAAAATAAATAAAATAAAAATTATTTCTAATTAAAATTTTGTTGCATTAATTGTTGTATTGCTTGTTGAGGATTCTTCATAATTTCAGCGAATGCTTCACTTGGAGTTTGAGTAATATTCGTTGTTGGTCGAGCAGCTTCTTTTTTGTTGTGTTCATAATTTTTTAAAACTCTAAAAAATTTAACAAAATTAATTTTAAAATTAAATTATTTTGAACATGAAACTTTGTCCCAAAATTTTTTTAATTATTTAGAGTATGTCAGTTGATTATCTAACCAAAGGTAATGAATTTTCCAAGTCATTTCATTATCTTTGTTATTATTCGCTATTTTGATTGGCACATCCCTTTCACATGTTCACTATGTCATAGCTATGTAAAGGTATTAGCTAAGGACAGGCTAAACATCCCCACAAGCTAGGGATTGGATAAACAAAGCCCTTAGGGAAAATAATGGTAATATGTGCCTAAGATTATTTGATAGAATAGCATACCGTATATACTGTATTAATTACCCTGGGTAATTATTGTTTCGATCTCTCGCTGGAGGGGGTAATAAAAGCAGGTGGGGTAATTATTTGAGGGAGGGCAATTATTGTTTCGACCTGTAAATTTTTTATTTCATCGTAAAGATATGAACAGTAATATACAATATGTTACCGAATGCAGAGATAAATATTAGTAAATTTTTATAGATATTTTTTATTCCCTTAATACTTTCATATATAATATACCCCAATACGGTACAATAACACCAATGCTTCGTCCCTGGGAGATATAAAGACACGATTGTCATGTGTATAAAAGTATGTATGATTCCTATTTAGGGAATATACCCTACATTCTGTAAATATACTTCTTATAATATGACTAAAGACAGAATATTGATCCATAAATGCTTAAAAATTAAAAGTATCCGGGTTATCCTCTCCAAATCCTTTTATTTTCTTGATTTATTTTTTTATGATCCTTAAAATGCCCATTGTTAAAATCATAATGTTTTTTAATAAATATTTTCAACATTAGCTTATAAAAAATAGGGGGTAATTATTTGAGGGAGGGCAATTATTGTTTCGATCTCTTGCTAAAGGGGGTAATAAAAGCAGGTGGGGTAACTATTTGAGGGAGGGTAATAAATACAGTATATACGGTATGTACTTCCATATTCCTATTTATCTATAAAATCTAACCTTCTAGCAAACACTTCTCTCTCAGATGGCCAATCACAATCATTTCCTTGATATATTGGTTTTGGGGAATTCCAAAATAATTTTCCTCCAAATCCCTTTTCTATATAAAAATATTTTTAATTTTTTAAAATTCTTTTAACCTTTTAAAAAGTCCATAACTTCTTTATTATATTTTTTAAAGAAAAGCATTGCTTCTCTTGCATAAACCGTTAATGATAATTTACTGGCATCTTTAAAATAGGTGTAAAATTATTCTTAAAACAATATTATACATATTTTGAACTTTTAAATCTATGCTTAATTTAAAAGTGGAACGTGTGACGCAAAATTTCCACGAACCTCCGATATCTTATCTTGTATTTCTTATTTTGCACTATGCTTTTTCCTTATTCATTCCTACTCTCTTTAATGCTCCAAAGGCGGAACTTTCTGTAGGTATTGAAATTTCTGTTGAGGAACATTCATTCTTCCGGAACTAGCCAAACTTTTTTGACATTAATCCTGTCTTAGTCTAACTTTCTAAAATGCTCAAAGCCCGACTTCGTAAAAATCAATGTATCTCTTGGTTCAAGACCAAGAGCCTCGTATGTCTCTATAGTTTAATAAAAATTTTCTCAATACCCACCAGTTACAATAATATATTGTATATCTATTTCGTCAACTTGAGTATCATTTCCAAATTTTGGTCCAATTTTGATTATATAAACTAGAAATTATAATTATTATTTTAATTATTTTCCATATTTACTTATATAATTACTCTCTCCCTTTTAAATGCCCCCTCCAGCCAAAGGCTGAAAAATAGCTACCCAAGGTAATTATTTGAGTAAATAAGGTACTCTATAATTTTAAATTAATCCTTTACATTGTCTTGGGTAAAAATATTCTTCAGTATACATCCAATACTTGCCAGTACCTACTTTATTTAAATCCCTTTTAAAAGTCTCAATTGGTCCATTTTTTGACACTGCACGATAAGCTTCCTTTTTAATTTTTTTTAAATTTAATTTTTTTTGTCTCATTAAAAACCTCAATAGAAAATCCATCTTCACCCATTACACTATTCGGTTTAACTTTAAAAAATATTTTAATGAAAGAATTATTTATTAATTACAATAGCTAACGGCACAATACATTTGCGGCCTGTTAATGTCAAAACTGACAGATGCTTTATAGACTTGAAACCTTTAAATTTTGTTAAGAATAAATTATTTTTATAGTTAATTTTATAAATAAATTCAAAAATGATTTACAAAAGAATGGATCAAAAAGAGAATTGAAAATTAGTTGTCTTGGTAGCTGATATTGACCAATACCGATATACGGCGGAAATGAATTGAGAAATAATCTCTCCTATTGATCGACCTATCCGCAGTCCATATAATCCAAGAAATTAACTATGAGAAGGATCAATTGGTTGATCAAATAATGATCAACCCTATATTATTGCCGATCTGAGGATAATGTTGTTGCCTGTTTAATCACTGTTAAGGGTTGAGCGGTGAATAATGCCCAGCAGGAATAACAACAATGATCAAAGAATTCCTTTTCATATTCCGCTCATTCTTAGCTCTAATATAGAACTGTGTAGGGATGTAAGTAAGCACATTCAACTTTATTTAAAAAAATAAATCCAACCATTTTCCCATAATAAGGGCTGAAGGAACATCGACAGTCTCTGCTGGATTTTGAATCATTTGGCCGATACCGCTAATAATTTCAGCAAAATTTTGAATATCCCACTAAATATTACAAGTTTTACTTGATAATTTATTTAAATAATTTACAGGATTTTCGCCAATAGCATTTACATTAATATTTAATATCAATAATGACGATATAAGATAGAATAATAATTCTGGGAACATTTTAATATCTAATGTTTTTATCTGTTTTTAAATCTTTTAATAATTAATAAACAAAAATCTATGAAAATTACTAAATAGATATTACATAGGTATCTAATGCTGGGAATTTTCAGTCGTATACATATACATAGTCATAAAAAGAATTTTCTCTATATTTTTGCTCTAAATTTTAATTTTTAATAATATAGCGCGCAAAAAATATATTGAAAAATCTATCCAAAATGATTGTTAAAAATAATGAAAAAATACGTTAATGGTCATTCTCGGTTTTTTGAATGGATAACCGCAATCCACTCATTTTGCGATTAAAGTGAACTAAAAATGGAAGGATTTATTGATGGGTTTATCCCTTTTTAAATAAATTTTAATTTTTGAATTAGAGAGAGAGAGATTCAAACAATCTAATTGTGATGGATGAAATTATTTTAGCAAATTTTTCGATTATATTTTGGGTCAAACTTGTGATGAATCTCGATCGAAAAAATCTCGATCATTTTTAGAGAAGTCGATCCTAGATTCTTTATATTTATCGAGGTTAGTGGAGATTTATTGAGATTATTAAGATTCATAGATTTTTAAAAATTTGATCTTTTTGGATAAAATAGTAATAGAGATAGCCAAAAAATTTTGAAAAAAAATTTAAAAATTCTCTGGGACTTTCAAAATTCTCAAAAATTTTCGCCTGATGCGCTAGAAAGGAAGATTGGGTACAACTCTAGATAAATTCTCCCGAAATCCTTCCAGTTCTGTTCTGAAACTTTTAATGTAAAAAATTTTTTTATTTTTTATTAAACAATTTAATATTTTTTATCAATTTAATATAGATTAATATTTAGTTATTTTGTTTGACTTTGACCTCATACATTTTATAAAATATTTATAAAAACATCCATTCATTATTTTTTTAAAAAAGAAATTTTTTCACAAAAATCTGACAACATTTAACATACATATTTTCCTCTAATTTTTAATTTCTTATCTGCAATCATTTTATCACTAATTATTTATTTTTATTAATTAATTGATCATTATTTCCTTCAAAGTTCATTTGCATTATAATTTAGTCAATTTAAATTCTTTTTATTTTTTACAAGAACTTTGTTAATACTTATAATTAATACATATCTCCAAATAATTATAAGCTTAACATCGATTTTAGTGTTTCTATACTTATGCCGCATTAGTTGAGCTATTTTACGTGATATTTTTTAGTATTAATACCGTATATGCTCTAATAATTACCCTGGGTAATCATTGTTTCGACCTCTCGCTGGAGGGTGTAATTAATCGAGAGGATGGGCTAAATTTGGGGTATTTATATCTCAATAAATCGCGGAGGAAATCCATTTATTTTTTGATATTGATTCTTATAATGTTTCAATAATTAAAATTGACAATGATTCTTTCAATATTTTTAAAATTAGAGAAGGAAAGGGAGGGGGCAATTATTAAAGAGGGTAATTATTCGAGCATTTACGGTAAGTGAATATTGTTAATATTGTTTAAAAATTTAAAATCTTGGTTAAATATTGTTAATTATTTTATTGTTTTTAATTAGGTATTTTTAAATATTTTCATAAATATTGCTTAAAAATTTCTATTTAATCCAAATAATGACTAAAATCCGTTCTAGTTTTCTAATTTAAAACATTAAAATCTGAGTGTCGGTGCATTATTTGTCGAGGATGCACTTTAACTCCGAATTAGCCATAAAAAATAAAGATCTTAATTATCGGTATTTTTGCTAATAAATATTTTAAATTTACAATTAATTTTTAATACCCTATTTAAATTATTACCCCTCTCAATATTAAATAGCGAATTGCATGAGAAATTTGCTGTAGTAAAATTGAAAAAATGTGCAAATGCTATCATTAAAACTGGAATATTCTCCCTTTCATTTTAGGTACATTTATTGATATTTCTATATTTTTCCTTTCATTTATTTTTAGTTTTTGTTAAATTTTGTCTGTACCGATTTGGTACTTTTATCAATAAATTTTGTAAAATAAAATTTTTGTTATAAAATATTTCACGCTGCTTATATTAAATTTTCTAAGTAAAACATAATTAATTATTTTTAAAGTTCATTAAAGGAATAGAAAAAAATGCGCCGAGTACTTACTTCAACAAAACTAAAAAATTCTTCATCTGTTAATACTTTACCAACTCTTTTTATTATCCGTAATCAAAGCAGAATTGCTTCTTCTCCTTTACAAATAAAAAATGACAAAAATAATTCTTTAAAAATACAAAAATCTTCTTTTAAAAATAATAATATTAATATAAGACAAATAAATTCTGATTCTTTTTCTGATAGGTAGATTAAGTGATTATGATGATAAATTTAGTTTTCTTGATTTTAGACATAATGGTCCTTGTGGTATGTGAAATTAAAAAATATTTTTTCTAAATTAATTTTCAAAATATATTCTAGAGTTGGAAAAACAACAAATGCTTCGTTATCTGGGATTTAAGGCAAATATTTTATTTTATGAAATAAAGCCGGGCCTCACTTGTGTATGTGACTAAATAATTCCATAAACGGGGATATAAAATTCCCCATCCGTACATGAAGATGGTGAATCCCCCCCCCTCCCCACTCTCCCACTCTCGAGTCCATTTTTTAAGATTTACAAAACTATCTGAAAAAAGGATTAGCTTTTTGTATGTTCACAGATGAGGTAAAAATCCCGGGTGAAGCTCGGGGTTGCCTCGCCTACTCCAATGGGGGTACTTTATATCATAATTTTGTCAAAAGTTGTTCTATCATATTATGCATGTTTACACACACTCAATGCACACTTAAGTGTGTGTATCTCAGTTGAGGTCCGATTATAATTCTTTGTAAAATCTTTGTATTTAATCTGTGTAATTTAAACATATTTTTTAAAAAGGATTTGGATGAGTTAACGAACACAAACGTGCCAGAAAGTATTCGTTTACGCCAAAAATTGGGAAAACAAATACCCGAGGAAGGTGTAGACGAATCTAAAATGTTAAACGAATTAAGTGAGATTGCTTCATTAAACAATCCTTACAAAACTTTTATTGGTAAATTTAGAATAAATTAATTAAAAAGGTTAAAACTATACAATTTTTAATTTATGGCCAATTTTTATCAAAGTCTTAGATTTTCCTGTTGGTAAGAGGTAATTCTCCAAAATCGAACTCTGTTACAATTAGTGTTGCTAGCTCACTCGACCCGAAACTCGAAAGATCGAGCGAGCCGAGACTTTTCACACGAAAAGCTCGAAAACGAACCGAATCGAAAAAAACCCAACTCGAAATTATTACGACCTCCTGCAGCTTGTTTTACATAGGATAAATAACTACAACCCCTTTTTATGATTCGGACCAGAATTATCTGTTTTATATATTTTTGATTAAAAATGAATTAAGTGAATAATTTTTAAAAATAATTTATTACTCATTTTATTTTAATTTTATTAATTTTTAGGTATGGGATTTTATGGTATGTTATTATTTAATATACTTCATTTATCAAAAATTTATGAGAAATAATTTTAAAGATTGTATTGTACCTTCAGTAATTGTCAAAAATATGTTTCAAAATGCTGGATGGTGATTATTTAAATTTTAAAAAAATTTAAAAAATAATCGGGGCTACTTCGTTATCCATTTTTTGCAGACCATGTATGCGGACAAATTTTACGTTCTTTACTTCTCTCCCTATGTCTAGGTTTGGCGGTTCCTGAGAAATCTTTGGATATGTATCAGGAACCGATCCGAAAACTTTTTAATATCCAACCTTTTTCGGTTTCGAATATCGCAACCGCCAAACATTCCTACGTCAACTAAATAACAAACAAGATTAATTTAATGTACATTATTATAAATAAAACCGAACAGTATTAATTTCTTACATGTTTTATTAGCTAGCGATTTTATTATGAAAATTTGAGATTACCCTGCGAAAAAATTTTTTTTAATTTTTATTACTTAAATTTCTAGGACTTCCCCATATACTCCTTATCAACCAGAAATAGCACAGGGACGCTTAGAAAGTCTTTTAAATTTCCAGACCATGATATCTGATTTAACTGGTTTACCCTTTGCAAATGCTTCAGTAAATTAAATTTAAAATAAAATTTTTTTATAAATTTCACTTAAAGTTGTTAGATGAAAGTACTGCTTGTGCTGAGGCTATTGCTTTAGCTGTTCGTGTAACTAAAAGGAGAAGTTTGTTTTTACGTTGAGAAATTCTGAAATTTTATTTCCGAGTAAAGAACAAATTTTAAATTCTTAAAATAAAAATTTGTAACATTTAAAAAAATTTTTGTCAAAAGTAAAAATTCCAAGAAAAATTCAAAAAAATCCACGAAAAAATATTTGTTCGATACTCAAAGACACTGGGGCCAAAATTTAGCCAAAAATTTCAAAAATATCATAAAAAATCTATAAAAATTCAAAGCATATTTGATCGGTTATATGCTGACAAGGCTTTACTAAAATTTTATTTTTCGCGTGTATCCTTAGAAATCGTGATTTTGATTTGAAAAAATCTTACAATTAAATTTTCTATCATGATATATTCGTAGTCACTTCTTGGAACTCTTAGTATATCCGGAACTTAACCAAACATCCGACAAGAAATATCCTCATCTTCTTCGATTTTTCGATAACTCTACTCTTAATAAATTTATTTACAGCAATCCTTTATGATACTGGATTACATCCACAAAATATTGGTGTAATGGCTACACGTTCAGCACCAATGGATATTAATTTTAAACCATTGGATATTAACGAAGGAAGTGTTAATAACAAGTTTGGGGATAATATTGCTGCAATTATTTTACAATATCCCAACACAGAAGGGTTAATTTATGAAGATTTGGATTTATTAGTTCAACATGCACATAAAAAAAAGGTGAATAGATAATTTTGAAAAATTATTGAAGTCACACTGATATAACTTCGAGTTCCAAAGCCTTTAGTGGATAAAACAAATTATGTTAAATAAATACATAAAAAGGTGCAAATATTAAAAAAGGCAAATAGAAAGCATAGGCCAGATCAGATATTATAGTTCTTATAATTAAATAATGACCTTCTTGTTTAAGTATTTATGAAGGGCATTAATATGTCAAGAGTAAGGTAATAAGTGAATAACACAAATATGTAATAGATACATATGTGTCGGGAATGATGATAAACTGAAGGCGTCAGAATCCCTTTTCACATATGAAAAACAGGGTTGGGCTGTTTTGCCATTTTGCTCTTTATAATCTGTGAGGGTCCATCCCTCATGAAAAGTTAAAATGCACGTGAATAAGCACAAACACATCCCTTCATACTTAAATAAATCTTCTATATTAATTTTTAGATTCTCGTTATAATGGTTTGCGATTTACTTTCTCTAACACTTTTACGTTCTGCCGGGGATTTGGGTGCAGATATTGCAGTAGGTAGTGCTCAGCGGTTTGGACTTCCTCTTGGTTATGGCGGGCCTCATGCTGGGTTTATGTCTGTTGCCAATTTAGCTCTGGCTAGACAAATGCCTGGAAGGATTGTTGGAGTTTCTAGGTGTTTTTGGGAAATTATTTGAGTTATTTTTTTCAAATATTTAGAGATCAACAGGGAAATATTGCTTATCGTCTAACTCTCCAAACTAGAGAACAGCATATTCGAAGAGATAAAGCAACCTCCAATATTTGCACTGCTCAAGCACTTCCTGCTAATATTTCTGCAATGTTTGTGTTTTTTAATTTGTTTGGCGGAGGGATATTGAGAGAATTTTAAGAAAAATTATTTTTGAATATTTTAAGGTATGCAATCTATCATGGACCCAATCGCTTAGCTTATATTGCCAAAAAGATACATAAAGCTACATCATTTCTTTCTCAAAGTAATATGATTTTATTCAGATTCTGTACTAATTTAATGTTTCCCTCCTCACCAGAGGTGGGTCTGAACAGTCAGAGGTGTCGGAAATCGGAAGAGCCGGAAATCGGTACTGGCTCAAAAGTCGGAACTTGGAAATCGGAAATCAAAATTTTTTCGGAAATCGGAAGGAAAAAAACGCCTGAAGTATGAATTCCGTATTTCGACCCACCTCTGCTCCTCACATCAATTTTCCTTTTTACTATCAATCATTTATTTCCCTCCTTTTAGTGACAAACATTTGTTCCCCTCATTAACATTCATTTTGATGAAGTTTCCCTTAATTAAAATAATGGAGGAAAAAATGAATGAAAGTTTTGCGCCGCCATAATTTATAAAAAATATTTACAGTCGGACCTAATTATAGTGTACTCCTTAAAAAAATGGTATCCATGAGCTGAAGGAATTTCGGGAAGTACAATATTTCGGGAAGTACAATAGCCCACTCTAATAAACCGACACTCTAGAGGAAGGTTTAAAAATAAACCAACACCCTAGAAGGGTCATCTTCAAAGAACTTGACTTTCAAATCAGGATAAATGGTCTACTACCCCTATTCAGACATGATTTTCTGCCAGAAGAGGATTCACTATAGTGTAGGGTTGTCGGGTCAAGATATCAGGTTCTTAAAAAGGCCGGATAGCCGAAAATTTTAGGTCGGATATCGGATCCGGATCTTGATATCCGAAGATCTCCAACTATCCTACATCTTCTATAGTGAGGTCCGGCTGTAGTTTTTCATAATTATTAATGATAGTGGCGGCGCAAAAGTCGTCCGGCGCAAAAGTCGCGGCGCAAAAGTCCCCCGGCGCAAAAGTCGCTCGGCGCATAAGTCGCGGCGCAAATGTTCTCGGCGCAAAAGTCACGGAACCTTAAATAAGTACCCAGAATAAATATTTATCTTCTGATAATTAAAAATTAATTTTTTAAGCCTTAAAAGCTAATGGAATTCAAGTTGTCCATAAATGTTTTTTCGATACATTAAAAGTCCTTCCATTAAATAAACATTTATTTGATATGAAATGTGAGGAAAAAAGAATAAATGTTAGAAATTATAATGATGGTTATATCGGTATTTCTTTGGATGAAACAACTAAAAGTAATTTTTAAAAAAATATTTTTTTAAATAATTTTTATAAAGTTGGTGATATTTGTGATATTCTTTATTTATTTGGAATTAATATTTGTGAGGTATATTGTTTCTTGATTTCATATCATTAATTAGTTATAGTAGATTGTTTTATTTATGCGCAAAGGGCTCATTATTTATCTGACAACCCATTATAATCAGAGCTTGACATTATTGTAGGGACTTGTATCCATGGTTGTTTCGTACAAACTAACCCTGGGACGTTTTTCAGACAAGACCCAGTCCAGAAACCTCGCTCCACCCCAAAACAGATTTTATCAAAATATACACTTTACGGTCTACCGTTCCTTGAAACCCCGACCCTGGTCAGTGTTTATGAGTTCTACTTACATATAATTAAATTAATTAAATTCTTTTTAGAAAGAAATTAAAAATAAATTAATGGAAACTTCAACACCCTTAATTGGTAATTCTCTACATTCTAGACATTCACCTTTTTTAACTGGGCATGTATTTAATAGTTATCATAGTGAAACACAAATTATTAGGTGAATAATTTTTAATAATTTTATCAAATTTTAAAATTGAAAAGTTATTTCCAAAAAAATACCTTTTCCACACCCTTCTTTATCAGTATGGCCAGTATTTAAAAATCCTTAATTTGCTCTCTTAATATTTTTAACTACATATGTTAAATACCAACTAACACGGTCATTTAACCACATTGCCAGTTAAGCCTATTATATACATTATTTATCATTGTACCTTTAAAGCCGCAGTCATAAGTTCATTTAATCCTAGGTAGGGACTAGACCTTATTTTTTCTGTACTTGCGGACATGGATACAATTTTGGCACGAATAAATGATTATGGCAAAAAACAAACTTTTCCAAACGAAAAATATTTTTATTAATAACTTTAAATAGAGACCGGACCGAGACATGATCTCGATCGAGAATCACGGTTATCGAGAATCGGTATTTTCCGAGATCTAGATTCCTGTACAACACTCCCAGTCCGGTCTCTAATTTTAACTACCTATAATTTATTTAAAGATATATGAAAAGACTTGAAAACAAAGATCTCTCACTTGTACATTCAATGGTTAAAATAATTTTATTTTCGATTTAATTTTCGAAATTATAGATTCCCCTAGGTTCTTGTACAATGAAATTAAATGCAAGTTGTGAATTAATTCCAGTAAATCTTTTAAAACTCTGTTTAAATTAAAAAAAAATTATTTAAAGATAAGCTGGCCAAAATTTGCTAATATTCACCCATTTGTACCCACAGAACAAGCAAAAGGATATTTTAAAGTAATTTGGAATTAATTAGTGTAATTCTTATTTTTGTTAGATTTTTAATTATTTGGAACGTTGGTTGTGTGAACTTACTGGTTATGATAAATTCTCTTTACAGCCTAATAGGTACTAGTAAATAATTATTATAATATTAAAAATAATTGTCATGATGCGTCGACAATTTTCAATTTTTTAAATCTAGTAAATTTAAATGAAAATATATAAGGTTAGATAACAGCGCTGGGCGAAATCTAAAATAAACAGCGAAGTCCAAAACTTTTCGAGCTGAAAAATGTGAAATATGCGAAAGATCCCCCTTACTTCCCCTCCCTCAGTCTATTTTTTGTTTTATTCGTAAAGCTCTTCGAGCAGGGTTGAATGCAGAATTAGCCAGTGGAAAATCTCCGAGTGTGTCAATGTGTCAATAGTGAGACACTTTTTTTACTAGTCTCCTAACTAGTCAAATTTTTAGGGCTAAAAATCCAATAAGTCGTAGAGAGTGAATCTAAAATTATTTTCAGTCTAACCCTATCGAACTACTTATTTTTTGATTTCTAAAAATTTTTTAGAAGGAAATATCCTTTTATCAAATTATTTCAAATTTTTTAGTGGAGCTAATGGTGAATATGCTGGTATGTTGGCAATTCGTAGCTATTTCCATTCTAAAGGAGAAAGCCAAAGAAATGTAGATTTGATTAGGAAAAAAGTTCTTTAAAATAAATTTATTAAAATTTAAAGATTTGTTTAATCCCTGTATCTGCCCATGGAACTAACCCAGCTACTGCACATATGGCTAATTTTAAAGTTGTTCCAGTAGAATCAGATAAACATGGAAATATTAATTTTAAAGATCTCTCTGATAAAGTAAAAAAATTAAGTTAAAATTAAGGTTCAATATATTTAAGTGTGAATATTTTTCTAATGAATTAGCATGTGCAATGATTACATATCCTGTAAGATTATTTTTATTAGTTTTTCAAAATTAATCAAAGCTTAATATTGATTATTTTATCATATCCCCCAATAATTTCAAAGATTAATTTTTTAAATTAACAACGAAATCGGCCTTTTTCAATTTACTTTTAAATTATAAAATCTGTAGGGCTGTCAGTATTAGATAATATGATAACATCCAAATTCGTACCAATTTTTTTATATAGTGAGTCATCAGTTTCATGTGTGTATAAGCCTTACTTATCCGAAGATATAATATACACGCACAATATAAATATGTAGTAGGTAGGTCCTAAGTTCCCAAAAAGCAGATATTTAACTATTTAATCTAATACAAATCTAACTGTTTTTCAAAAATCATTAATTTAATTTTTTATATTTCAAGTCAACTCATGGAGTTTTTGAATCACAAATTAAGGAAGTTTGCAATAAAATACACGAACATGGTTAAATTATTGAGGATAATAGTTTAAAAAAATATTTTCAAAGGAGGTCAAGTTTATTTGGATGGTGCTAATTTTAATGCACAAGCATGCCTTTGCCGACCTGGAGATTATGGAAGTGATATTTCCCATTTGAATTTACACAAAACTTTTTGTATACCTCATGGTGGTGGAGGACCAGGAATGGGACCAATTGGAGTGTATGTTGTTATTTTTAGAAGTTATAGGGAAATATGGGGAGGGATGGGTAGTATTTAGATAACTGAAAACAATTATTTTATGTCGAAAATTTTACGAAAAAATTTTTAATTAATTTTTTTAATAATTTTAAACAGTTGCCCAATAATTACATAAATATTGAATGAAGACAGTTCTTTATTAATAAATTTTGGTAGAAAGACTGGTCAGAAGTTAATTTTAGGAAACGGAATGAGCAAGGGTTTTTGGAATAAGACTGGTTCCAAGGACTTTATTGGGTGGTTTCTTTCTTGATCTTTTGGCTAACTCGTGGACCTTGGGTCTAGCTTGAGTCATGTAAATTTTTTGTCTTTAACATCTCTACAATTTATCCACAAAATATCTCCAATATTTCCTTCCAAATCAAAAAATCTTCCCATCAAATTTAAATAAATTATTTCAGTAAATCACATCTTGCACCCTTCCTACCTGGGCACCCAATAATACCACGAAATGGAGAAAGACTTGATGGCGTTGTGAGCGGTGCACCTTGGGGAAGTGCCAGTATTTTGCCAATTACTTGGGCATATATTAGATTGTAAAATAATTTTTTTGATATTTATTTTTAAACTATTTTTTAAAGAATGGGTATTTCTGGTCTAAAAATTGCCTCCCAAATGGCTATACTTAATGCTAATTATATGGCAAAAAGATTAGAAAATGCTGGCTATCGAGTTGTTTATAGAGATGAACAAGGCTTAAACGCTCATGAATTTATTATAGATTGTAAGCCTTTCAAGCATGTTGGTATTGAAGTGGATGATATAGCTAAACGTTTAATGGATTTTGGATTTCATGCACCAACAATGCATTGGCTAGATTTTTAATTTCTTATTGGAGAAGAAACTTCAAATTTTCTATAGGCCGATTCGTGACAGTTTAATGATCGAACCGACAGAGAGTGAAGACAAGGCAGAATTGGATCGGTACTGTGATTCTTTGATTGCAATCAAACAAGAAATAGAGCAAATAGCTAATGGACAATACACATTGATCTCTACAAAGTAGGGATGAAAATATCGAACTACTAATTTCTGTGTATTCAGCATGCCCCACACACCCAAGCAGTTTTGATGGCCGACAGTTGGGACAGACCTTACAGTCGAGAACAAGCTGGTTGGCCAAAGCCATGGTGTCTTACTTCAAGGAAGGTGTGGCCATCTTGTGGAAGAATTGATGATTCTTTTGGTGATCGAAATTTAGTATGCATGTGTCCTTCAGTTGAAGAATTGGCACATCAATAAGATTTATGATTTTCGAATTTACTATTTCCTATTTTTTTTTAATAAATAAATACTACATTAAATCTACGGTTCTGGTAGAGTTGCCACTAGAGAGCGGGCCATTAGAGTTCACGATTTTTTATAAACCTCGGTTTTACCCTTGACCTTGATCTCGGCTTTTCCATCCACAACAATCCTCGGCCTCGCTTTTTTAAAGAAACCTCGACCTACACTATTTTGAACTACCCTCCATCTAACTCATGACACTGACGATTTATTAGCAGACCTCCGGAACTACATTAAAGCACTATAGAAGTTGTTCCGACAATGAGAACAATATTTAAATCTAATTTTTAAATTTACACTGGTGCCAAATTGACTACCGCTGGCTATAGGCCGGGACCTTTGGACCGTTTATATAACAAAGATGATTAAAATTTATCTGTAAAAGTGCTTATTAAAATAATTTTCTTTTTTAATTATTTAACATCTTTTAATTTAAAAATTTCATTAATTGGTGGTATTCTAATAAGATTATCTTTATTATTTTTATTCTTTTCTTTAAATATTTCACTTATTTGGGGCCATTTAATTAATTTCATATTTTTAGTTTGTTTGGTATTTTGATTTAATTTCTCATTAATCTTTTCATAATTTGATTTTTGTGTAAGCTGATTATGGTTTTGATCTGAAAATAAATTTAAGGTTTTCATTTATTTTAGAGCCCAGAATTCCGATCCCTATTAACAGTTAAGCAGCTGGGCTATAGATATTTCTCTCCTTTAGCTAATGCAAAAGTTATTCGGCAGCTGGGAGCGAACCAGCATCTTCAGTAGATCGGACTGATGTGTTATCCATACACCACGCCGCCCACTGCGCACCTTAGGAAATAAATACCTAAATGATTTAAATAACTGTATAATTTAATTTACACGACATATTCTACATAGGTATTTATCGGTACGGTAAAATTTTGAAGTTCATCGGTATTCTGTATCAAAATTTCGAGTTCTAATTTATTTATTACCTAATTGACTTTTTATATGTTGATTTTGTTTATCTTTATTAATATGATTTTGTTTAAATTCCTCTTCAAATTTAATACCAAGACGTGATTCAATTCTTAAATTTTTTTTATATTTATTAGGGATTTTTAGGTTTTAAACCTTAAAATAGTACCTAAATAGGTTGTGTAATGTATTCGATTATGTGCATAAATAAAATTATGTTGAAAAAGCAGGAATTTTTAAAAATGTTGGCGGATTAAAACCCGGGATTTCTGTACTGCAACCGGGAAAATCCTTTACATGATACCTCCTCTGCTACACCCTGATCAACATAACTATTACAGGAAATAATAAGTTATAACCTAAAAATCCGATCCCTAATAATTTTATAATTAAATTTAATTTACATATTTTCTAATTCAAAACGATTCGAAAATATTCCATAAATCGAATTATCATTAAATCCATATTTATTGTTTATTTTTCCCATATGGAAATTGAGAGTAGAAATAAATTCATTAATATAATTGGGATTTGAAGAACAAGAATCCTCTTTAAAATTGAGACCAACTAGCCAAATAACGCGAAGCATTTGAAAGCTTTAAAATTATTTGAAAATGATTATTGTTAAAGCTTGTAGAGCTCTGCTGTATTTGGAAACGGAATACGGGGGCTGATAAAAACGGGGGGAAAAGGAAGACAGAAGCAGAAGAGAGCCAATCCTTATTCGAGTTTTAAGCTTTGTATTTATAAGAAAAAATTTTGAGTTTTAAGTTTTAAGCCCGTTTTTATCAGCCCCCGTATTCCACGACTAAAATTCGAACTTGGTAAAACTTTTGCGTACAACGACGAGTACGAGTAAAAAAGGCCTTTGTACGAACAACTGTTTTTGATTCAGTTTTTATTTTAGAATAATATTTTCGTTCTGGTTTTTAGTTAAATAGCATTTTAGTATTGGAGGGGATCACGAATTTTTAACTATGACCGGATCAAGACACAATCTCGAGCAAGAACCTCGATTTTGTCGAGACATTTAATACGATTTGAACTCTTTCGAGTATCTTTTTATAATTCTTGTTGTTCCCTCCCAGTCCTGTCTCAAGTTTTTACTTAAATTTTATTACTTACTTTTTATTATTCATCCGTCTTTTTCTTGCAAATCCACTTAAAGCATGATAGTTATTCAATCTATCTTTTAAAATAATTGTCTGTTCATTTTTTGCTTGAATAACAGTTTTTTCTACCCAGCGATAAAGAAGAGTTCTAACTCTAGTTTTTAATTGTCCACAATTTGGAGGTGAAACTGATGAAAATTCTTTCTGATTTTCATCATTAATGTCTTTAAATGATGTACATTCTAATAACAAAAAATGACAAAATTTATTTTTATAATCCAATTGTTTGAAAATTAAATTATTTTCATCCAAATTTTTAGAAGAATTTTTATCTGTTTCTTCAATCAGAATTTTGTAAACTAAAATAGAAAAACAGCATTTAGAAAAGAAATCTCACTCAAATTATAAAAATTTTTTTACAATTTGCCCGTTTACAGAGCAAAACAAAATACAGAATTTATCTTGATATATTAAAATGGTGATTAACTCCATATAGAAAGAGATAAATAGTTTATCCCGGGTATGAATCGATCCTGAGGCCTCTGCGTATTCTAAGAATGGGATAGGGTTCTTGGAATTATTAACCCGAGGAAGGTTTAAATGTTACAGAGGAGAGTTAAGAAGTTAGCATGTACAAAATTCTCTCGTTTACGGAGTGAACGTCATTTTTAGACCGACTAATCGCGGTGCGCTTTTGCATCTTGATAGATCTATGCTCACGCCTATTAAGCATCTCAGATACTAGCTTGTTGTATTTATATCCATCCTTAGACTAGCATAATTTCGAATTAATTTTATTCATAGCCCACATATTTTTGTTTAATCAATAAAAGCAATTTCAAATTTTTTGCCCATTTGCAACGGAAATTATGAAAAACTTCACCTCTATTAATCTCTACTTTGATAATATTCAATGTATGGTTATTAACATTATAAGCTGCATTTTGATTTGGAAAAAGTGAAGTAATTACAGGCATTTTGTCCCCATCGTGATATTCTGAAGGCAACAAATTTTTTAAATTCCAGTTTTGGAAAATGTTGTTTGAATTTACTAATGAATCCAAAATTACTGGAACTGGCCAAGGCCTAAATTAACAAAATTGAAAATCTTGAACAGATTATTATCTAGAATTGGCTATTAATGGGTTGACCCAAAAAGAATGAGCCCTTTGTTATGAGCTAGATTTGGAATTGTAAACTGGGAATTAATTTCTAGGGGAACTGGGCTTAATGAAGATCTCTATCGTGCAATCCTGGACCGCGTTCAAGTTGCCATTGATGGTTTTACAGTTCAGGGACGGCGTCAAGGCCAGGTTGTTTTCCATCAGGACAACGCGCCTCCACACCGTGCAAATGCAAATCGTTTCCCATCCGAACTGAAACACTCGGATGGGAAATTCTACCACACCCGCCTTACTCACCGGACATTGCGCCATCTGATTATCACTTATTCCGCGCTATGAAAAATCATTTACGTGAAGTTCGGTTCCAAAATGATACGCAAATCAAAAATTGGGTAACTACTTTTCTAGAGGCAAAATCAGCTACATCTTTTTATCAAAAAGTAATTCAAAAGCTGCCCAGATAATGGCAAGAAGTAATAGATAATAACGGCAATAAATCGTTTCTTGATTGTTTTTTTGTTAAAGTAAATTATTTGCATTATCCATAATCGGCTCATTCTTTTTGGGTCAACCCATTAATTTGTTATTATCTCTTAATTTTAGTTTCAAGTTTCATATAAATTTTGCTTTTATCTTGGTTGAATTTTCAAAGAAAATCACTCATTTTCAAATATTATGTTAGTCACTTCTATCTCAAAAACATCTATTTCAAACAAAAATCACAAGATTTACTCAAATACATTGAGAGGGTAATTGAGGGGGCTAGAGAGGGTAATTATTTGACGAGGGTACTTAGCTAGTAAATAGGAAAATATTTTTTAACTTCTTATCATCTAAATTTATTTAAATAAACAAACCAAATGCTATAAATAAGGAAGAATTGTCTTAATAAAAATATTAAATTTCCAGTAGGATATAAAAGACAAATCTTTGCTGACATTATTAATAAAATTGTGCCGCTCAGATAACCAAAAATGTTTGAATAAATTTGTCGAGCTGAATAAATTTTTGATTGTTAGTTAAAAAATAATTTGAACCTTTAGCCCATTGTTTAACAACGCGCAATAAATTAGTAAACATTTCCTCACGTTCAGGATTTATTAGAGAAAATTTTGTTCGGTAAGACATTCTATAACCTTTAAAAAGATTTACTATCTTTAATTTATTTTTTAAATTTGGTTGGGTGATTGTTAGGCAAATCTATCACAATATCCCACTCGCATGCTCAAGTTTATATAATAATTATTGTTACTCTTGTAATTCAGTTCCCAATTAATCAGTCCTTTTGTGCCCCATATGAGAATCAACTGTGCGGCTATGTAACGGTAAGAGCTATGGTCTGGTTAAATATAAGAGTAATATTTGACTAGGGTTTGGTTACCGATTTTCAGCATACTTGCACTTTACTTAATATATTTATCGAAAAATAATTTTAAAATAGTATAAATTATTAGAAACAAGCCTGTCAGAATTAAAATACTCTGAAAATGTTGAGAATCATTTAAATTATCCATTCGTTCAATTAATTCATTTAATATGTAATTATTTTCTCTAATAACGTCTTTATTATTATGTTCAGACAATTTTAATTCGGCAGGAATTGATGTAACAGGAAGTTGTGCAAACATAATATCCATTTCGTGTCCTTCTATTACTAATTCTATAAGTGGTACACGTGCATTGGCTATTGAATTGATATTGAATAAATCACAATTGAAATTCTATAATTATGAAATATTTGTTATTTTTTTAATGAATAAATAATATTAGAAGGAACACTACCTGTATTAACTAATCCTGGGAAGTCCTTGGATATTCCGATCAGATCCGAAAACCTTCATAAACTATAAAGTAAATTATCATACCAAATTTCTTGAATACTCCTCCTCTAATTCTTTAGCCAAATAAAAATAAAAGGAATTTTCATTATTTTCAAAAATTAAATCATTTCTTGATTGTTCCTCTAAACCATCGCAAAAATTTAATGAAGGTATTAAGAAAATAATGTCAATATCAGAATTATCTGTAGCTGTATCCAAGAGTATGGATCCTCCAACAATCATCGAAAATCCTTTAACATGTATAAATCAATTATTACTTCACGAATTATAGTAAGGTTTAGAATATATGACAGAAAATCAAAAAACTATGTCCAAATATATGCTTTAAGACCCAACGTAAAAACACCATATTTGAACACTCTCACATGGCATATCCCCATACAAAACATGCATTTGCATGTTTTCTCCAAGTTATACTATAAATTTATTCACCTCCATATTTCTTAGAATTATTTTCACAAATTATTTTTAACCAATTCTTAAATTTTGCTTTTAGCCAATTTAAACAATTTTCTCTTGATTTTAATATTTTTTCACTTATTTTATATAATTTATCAAAATATGTTAAATCAAAATTTTTATTTTCAATATTAAACATTTGACTATATTCATAAAAGTTAGGTGAGAGCCATTTAGATTTTTCTAATGGAATAATTCTCGTAGTTAAATTGCCATTCTCGATTAGAGAATAAATCTCTTTTTGTAAATTATCATCTAAAAAATTACTATTAAAATAAAGCTAAGATGAAAGTCCAACAATTTTTTTTATTAAAAGCACACTTCACATAAATGCATTTAAAAACCCTAATATGCATAAGCACAATCTTTTACAACTCTGAATCAAAAAAAACTCGAACTACTACAGCTTTACTACCTTAATTTCACGAATAAGGTAAATAGCTATGATCTTGTAATCACTATAATTCTTGTTAGGTCTTGACCTAGTATTCCAAAAACTGACAACTCTAATTATAAGTAAATTTACACCAACCAATTGTTTGCTGTTCAAACATTGCATGAATTGAAAGAATATTTGACATAAAAATTTGACAAAATTTAATCAAATTACTTCTATATTTTCGATCATTTTTATCAATTTCTTCAAACATTTCCCCTCCAAACAATTCAAAAATTCCTTCAAAAAATTCAAAATTAAGTGTTGGGTCCTCTTCATGGTAATTTACAAATTTAATAAAATTTTCAAATTTATCTTGAGAAATATTTATTTGATTATTGCTTGTCATTTTTAATTTTTTTGAAAAAATGGAACAAAACAGTTGAAAATTAATTTTTGTTAATATTTTTGAAATTTTGGTGATCAAATGATTTTTCGATGTAGATTCTTCATTAACAATGTTTAGTATATTTATTGGTTTTTCACTAAATGAAGTTTAAATTTTTATATTGTACCGTATTTGCTTAAATAATTACTCTCTCTCTCTCATATAATTTCCCTTTCCTCCCCTATTAATTACATCCACCAGCAAAAGGTTAAGATAATAACCCATAGTAACTGTTTGAACTATTTATTTTAAAAATTATTCCTTTGATCAATCAGTTTTAGAGGGAAGAGGGGAGGGGTTCGAGATATATTTTATCTATATAATTTTTGAATTATCGCAATAATGAATTAACGAATAGTTCGGCCTAAAAAATCATTAAAATATAAATAAATTAGCTAACATTTTTCTTTCAAGTTCTTCAACAAAATTGTCATCAAACGGTAATTTAAAAGAAATACTTTTCAAATTTTGGTTTATTTTAAACAGTAAAATCATTAATTTATTTATATTATGTTTGTTTGTATCTCCATTTTCTTTGAAATTTTGTTTTTTAAATTTCTTCCAGAATATTGCTATAGACTTCAATATATTTTTAGCATTATCTTTTCTTAAATAAAAAATGGATTTTAGAATTAATTATTACTTATAAACCACCACCCAACAAATATATTATTATAAATTATGACGGAGTATGGGTTCTTCAGATCTTCAGCCTTCTCCATAGATTTATTATGGCCTTCCAAATATTTCACTATGCAGCACTAGAAATTGAAGAAAGCTGGCTTCTTAGCTTTAGATTTTTTTTATTTTTCCTGGCTCACTCATGGATCTTCCAAAAGGAACAAAAGCAAAGGCTCCGAAAATCACACGCTCAGGAGACGGAGTCTGGATTTGAAAAAGTCGGAGCGGGAACTACTAAAGGCTCAGCACCACTACCCAACAAATATTACTACAAATAATCTAATAAATTTAATTACCTATTTTTATCAATTATTATTTCTGTTTTAACCAACAAACTTGCACTCAAAATCTTATCTTCAATTAATTTAGTTATAATTATTATATTCATTAATTCCTCTAAATTTGGTATTTCCACTATTCTTTTTTTATTTTGTATTATTATACGAAGATTCAGGGAATATATCTCTTCTAAATGTTTTTCTAAATATCCTTCTTTAAACGATTCTTTTAAATCTTAATTTAAAAAATTATTTAAAACATATAATCAAGGGGGAATTTAAGGTTGAGAATGTTTGTGTCGGCATTTGTTAAATCATTCGGGGTTTGGGTTGGATTTTGAAGGGCAAATTTCGGAAATATGATAGGCAAAAGTATTTTGCAGCATAAGGTTTCATAACTTACTTGTTAGCTTCTTAAGCTCTGATCAGATCTGATAAAATCTGACCAGATCTCGAGCAAAAATCCTAATTATCGAGGGGAGATTTTTGATAAATCCAGACTAATCTTCTGTATTTCTAAATAAACAATATGGATATCTGATATATTGCTACATGTTATGCGAAAAATATATTTTCTTTGTTTGATGAAACTAAAATCTGAGATATTTTTATCCTTAATCGTTTGATCATGTCCTTAGATTTCTCGATTCAAGATGTTACCAATAGATTAAGGCTGGGGATATTCCATGATATCCGATCCAATCTAAAATTTTCGGATATCGGCATTTTTTGATACTGATTTTTGTTTTAATTATTATTTTAGTTTTAAATTACTTTTTAAATTACTTTTTAAAAAATTTTAAATTACTTTTTAATTCAATCATCTCAGTCAATTTATTTATTATTTCATTCAAGGAAGTTTCATCAATTACATTTTCTATTTCATTTTCTTCAATTTCTTCCTCTTCCAATTTATTTTCAAAATTTAAAAATAAATTTGTCTTTTTTCCTTTCTTAGTTTTATCCCATCTTTGCTTCGATTTTTTAGATAAATTTTCCATTGATTTACTTCTAGACAATTTACTCAATGGATATGCTTTGTTTACGTAAATATTTTTATCTTTTATTTAAATAAGAATTATTTTTAACTGAATTTAAATAAATAATAAGGGTTGTTTCCTCCGAGAACGTCCATGGGCGGCAGAGTTGCGTCGTAATTGAAAAATTTTTTTCGTAATCGTAATTCGTAATTCGTAATTTTCAAAAAAATTTCGGAATCGTAATTCGTAATTCGTAATTTTTAAAAAATTTTCGTAATCGTAATTCGTAATTCGTAATTGAAAAAAAATTTTCGTAATCGTAATTCGTAATTCGTAACTGAAAAAATGCCGTAATTCGTAATTCGTAATCGTAATTCGTAATTTTTCAAAAATATTTAAATTAATTTTAAAAATCAAATATCTATTAATAATTGCTCCTGTTACCATTAATCCCTCCAAGTCACTTAATCCTAATGATAAATCATATCCAAGTCTCTTAATATCTCTTAATCTTAATAATCCTCCGATGTCTCTTCAATCAATGCTGCGGAATCATTGTCCAGATTAAAGTTTGATATCATGTGAAATCCCTCTCACTTAATCCTGAGCCAAAACTTATATTTTCTGCGCCGCAGGCGAAAATTTTTAAAAATTCATGACTAAATTAAAAATTTTTAAGTTTTTTTCAATTTTAAGATATTAAAAATATAAATTTACAAACCTAAAATCAAAATTAAAGCTTAAAAACATTTATTTTTGAAAAAATGAATTGTCTAAATATTATTTCCCACACATTGATTCGAACCAGACCTAACAAAATATCAAATAAGTGAAGCTTGACTTTTAACCCACTCAACCACCGATAAACAAAAGTAACTGTGAGAGAAAATATAAATATTTCAAATATTTCTTCCCCTTTTCATTCTAAAATTTAATGGCAAAATTATTTTCGTAATTCGTAATTTTTCCATATATTTTCGTAATCGTAATTCGTAATTCGTAATTTAAAAATTTTTTTCGTAATCGTAATTCGTAATTCGTAACTGAAAAAACACCGTAATTCGTAATTCGTAATCGTAATTCGTAATTACGACGCAACTCTGATGGGCGGATATGTCGCGTTACAAAGTTTTAGACAGTTTCGGGGCTGAATTCGGATCGAGTATCAAAATATAGTCCGTGTTCTGGTCGGGGTACAACTCTGATATAAACCTGAGCTTGATTTTTGTAATTTAAATATCTCATTTTCTTTCGAAATATTTTCTTGGTTTAAATTTTTCTCTTCAATTATTGGGCATTCGTTATTTACTAAATTAGTACTTTTAGTTTGTTTTTTATTTTCAAAAATTTTTTCTTCAATCTTTGAATCTATTTCCGGCGTTCTTAATTCCTCAACAATTTTGTTCTTTAATTAATTTATTTATTTATAATATTATGGGACACATTATTAGTTTACTGATCACTCAAGTTCTATTTTTAATTCACAAGTATCTATTCAATCCTTCACCTTCAGTACCCGATTTTCTAAACTTAGTCTTCTCAAGATCAATAATTCAAAAATCCGGTTTGCCCTATACATAGACAAGAGGTTAAATTTTTTCTGGAAAGAAAGAATTATGGGTCCCTGGCTTCGTTTAAATTCCATTAAAATTTCTTTTGAAAATCTTAAATTTTATTTTTATTAAAATTTACATTCTCTTTTGTTATAGTTTCTTCAACTAAAGGCACTTTTCCTTGTTTAACTAATTCATAAAATTTACTTTTAGAGATTCCAAGAAAATCTTTGAATTCATTACCTGTTTAATAAAATTAATAATTTTAATTTTTTTAAATTTGAATTTTATTTTAATTTTAATCATTTTGTAGAAAATAATATATGTATCTGTAATAATCGTGGAAATAAACATGATCGAAAAATTTTAAAGAAACATTTTTATTACAACCGGGCCTTAAATTTAAATACCTATGAATTCAGCTAATCGACACTCCTTAGCAAGTCA